TTATTGGAATTTTTCTGATATAAAAAAGGGATGGGGAGATCGCCGGTCGTATCATATCATGGCGTTGGTCTAGGAGGAGGGCGTATCGTATCCAGGCTGTCCGTTTTTTATATCCTACTCTATTTTGTTTTTTATTTTGTTCCTATATTTTGGAAGTCCTTCGAATCAACGATAATAAATGTAATCTAATCTATCCCTATCCTCTGTGTCGGCGTTAACGCGCCTACTCTTTCGACAATACACAGAGGGACTTTTTACGTGCAGGTTGGACCCTCCTACACGGGACACCGTGGATTGAAATTTATGTTACTGCGAAAGGGGTGTCTTCAGGGAGCTATCGGGTTGTAAATATTTCGATCCTACCTGAGCTAGATTCTGTTCCGCTTTATATGTTTGAATAAGCCGTGATAGAGGATCTGTTCGCTTTTGATTGATTATATGTCAAAAGTTGATTATTGCAAAAATGTTTTCTATGAGTTGGTTCGAGTGAATTTCGATCCTACCCGAGCCGAATTGTGTGTCCAAAAAGTTTGTTATGGTTGGGGGTGGGAGGGGATGTGTTTGTACGTATTTATGGGTGTGTTTGTGAGAATGTGTGTGTGTGGGGGGGGCGCAACTGCCAAGTAGATGTCATATGTCATTTCCATCTGAATCCTTTTTATAGCCGTTGAAGCATTACTAACCTGTGTCGATTTGATTATATTTGTTTTAAGTATCTTTTATTGCTTTAATGATTATTGGAAAGTTTGATTCAAATATTGTAGCTACCCCATGTTTTGTTGATAAGTAACTAAATCTCGTTGTATCAACTCAGATTTAATTATTTCAAAAATTCCTTACCTAACGTTTTATAAGTCCAGAAGCACAGCTGGCCTTCTCCTCATACCAGCGTCAACTTAACTTAAGTCACGCCGATGGGACAAGAGGACTTAAATGCATGAGTCTTTAAACAGAACATGGAAGCAGAGTTACACTTGAGTACAAAAAAGGGAGAATTCGTTTATCTTTAGAATGGACTTGGGAACGCTGCTGGGTAGGCGAACAGACCTATTGGTCGGAACTCCCCGCCTGAGGTCGGAACAAAGACGTTACAGCGTTCTTCTGTCTATCAAAAGATTAGAACTCTATAGATATAGTTGTATTATAGTCTCAGTTTTAATTTGAAATTTGTTTATTTTGTTTTTTAATGTTATTCATATTTTGAGGGGGCCACAACCACCATTTTGAGATTTGTTTATTTTGTTTTTTAATGTTATTCATATTTTGAGGGGGCCACAACCACCATTTATACAAATTTGATTCCTTTTTGCCTAAAGATGATCCATAACAAATTCGATGTTAATCCCTTTATTCACAAAGAAGGAGAAATCATTTAAAAGATGTTCTAGAACAGCTCAGGTTTGGTTAACATCCCTTCATTGGTACAAAGGAGAAGTTTTCCTATACTTCTTATATTGAGACACATCCATCTGCTCTAAAGGGGGCCACTGACTCAGTTTATATGTAACTGAGTCCTTTTCCCCTAAGCTTGCTCTTCAGAACACATTTGGTTTAAATCCCCTCATTTGTACAGAAGGAGAAACAGTTTCCTCTCTCCCCTTTTGGACTCCCATGTTTTACACCAGAGAGCGGGGAGCATATCCTCCTTTTATACAAAACGGAATCCCCTTGGCCCAAAGATGCTCTAGCCTAAGGTTTGATTGAATGCCATCATTAGTTCAAAAGGAGAAGGATTTTTACTTTATTTGCCCTTTATTTCCTCTATCAGGCCCCACCCATCTGCCCCAAAGGGGGGCCTGGGGCTCAGTTTATACAAAATCGTTTTACTCTCGCTTGAAAATGTTCCAGGTAACCAATTTCTATGATCCCAGATGAACTTATGAGGGCGATACACCTTGTTAGGCTATGATCATGGTTCCTGCATTTCTCCTATTCCTATATCCTATTCTTGACAAGATTTGATTTGGTTTTAGTTTGGGTTCATTTTGTTTAACGGCCTTTGAAGACATTTCTCGTTTTGGGGCAGACCTACCACAGAGCGTGGAGAACAAGACCAAGAAAAGTAAATACAGTGGTCATTTAAAACATTATTTTATTTTAAATCGAACTTAAAGTATATGGTACAGTGTGTAAATATCTTACACAGAAACGAACATGTAACACTGTATGACATTTCTACAATGCTCGATACAAAATTAAGTGACTGGTTACCACATTCGCTATAGTCTTTGTTGACTCACCGCAAGTACCGTACAAAAACAGTAATTGTATTCAAATGTCTCTGCTAAGGATCTAACTCAAGGCCTCTGCTGTATTCTAACACAAAATGAGAATAATAATATTCGTATTCAAAACGTCTGTTGGATGATTACCAGTGCGTCAATGATGACATATAAATGAAAATTACGATTTCTGATTGCACCACAAACTTATAACACAATATTTCCATATTGCGATTTAGTTTGGTTTTATTTTGTTTAACGTCCTGTTATATATATGTTATATATATTTTGTGATCACCCGAGAAGTATCTGGAATTATTGTCCAGATTCTGTTGATGATATACGAATTAGATGAAAGTTTGAGATAAACTACATGAAAGCGAAGCAAGAATAAGGGTTTGTCGTTCATTTATCGTACTGCGAGTCAATTACACAACATGGTGGAGAATCCAAACCCGTAAGATGTAGTCTCGTGACATTTCCAGCCGACTATTGTTGGTTGGACCACAGCAAGCGAGTGTCCCCGTTGATAGGAAGGTGCAGAATGCCTGGGTCTGAACACGTGGTAATGTCGGTGCTGTAAGATGTATCGATATTTGAACTAGTAACTGCTATAATTTCAACCATGCTACTTCCGGACAATTTACTTAAGGTGCTTGATAGTTACAGTGTCGAATTCAACTATTGGATTCCGTCGTATGTTATTAAGGAGAATAGACAGACTTTGTCATTTTCTATCACATGGACCAAATTGTTATCTCATTGTAACAAGGACTACGGGATCGATAATAGTTGTGACCAAAGTAAGGTACCGGGTACTGCATTTGTATCTACGCCTTGCAACAACCCACTACGTAAACACAAGCCGCCGTCACAGATTCGCCACGAGAAAAAAAGTGACGAAAGCAGTGGCTACTTGACCGGATACGTCTTTATTTGGGTACTAAAGATATAAAGGCGAGGACAAAGCAAGTGTGTGTTGATATAACCAGGGCAAACCAGACTGGGGTTGTGGTACCGCCGACTGTTGTTGGTTGGACCAACAACAGTTGACGCCCCAGAGACAGTTGGTTCTACTTCGGACAGTAAGTGTAACATCCAACAAAAAGACATGCCTGTTTTAGAGCATCGTGGTGAATGGAATGTGTAACACCAAACCCTCTACGGAATATTTGTTTGTTCAGTGACTAAAGTGACACCTAGAGATGTGGATACACGTGATGTTACCAACTCGGAGCAGTTCAACTCAATGTCTATCAACAGTAAAGATCTGTTTGCATACATGTATCTGACTGATCAGCGGAAAAACTTACCTGCACATGTAACATAATCGGTTATGTGTAATCTACTGACATTGGAGGTGAAACTTGTCCCATATTCTAAAATGAAGACATTCCGTGAACTGTACTTATGAATTAGGGTTTAAAGGCAGATATAAAGAAAAAACGCTTACTTCTACAACACTTCCACTCCTTCCCCGATTCTTTTCGAAACCCAATTCTTGAGATGTGGTTAAGATACTTGTACATACAATTTGGTAAGGATAGTATATGGTTCTAATATGTATTTAGAACAAAAAAGGAAGAATTGTTGACATAATTAGGCCAATATATAACAAGGTCACAGTGACCTACTTATCAACCATGTGCTACTCTTTTCAGCTATTATTATTATATGCTGCTTTAGTGTTACGCAATACACCAAAATTATGAAGAAACTTTGAAAAAAATAACAAGGCCTTTTTTAAAAAAAAGTGTCTATTTGTGATTTTAGTCCCCTCAAATTTTGGAATGGTCTGCAAGCTGACCTTGATTTACCCCATCCTTTGGTGGATAGGTGTAGTATGGCACTACGAATACAACTGCGGTTTGTTTTGTGATTAAACAAACAAACACCTCAGTTGTATATGGTTTGTGATTAAACAAAATGGCCGCCTTTTCCTGACCTCTAATTGGTCGAAATTTAAACATTGTCCGACTTCGATCAAATTTGGAATATAGGTGAATTATGGGACAACGATCACTCGGCCCCGATTTCCTCTCTTCTGATTGGTCGAAATTTAAATATTTTCCAATTTTGATCAAATTTAGTCTGTAGGTGTACCATGGACAATGATCACTTCCGTAGCTTAGATTTCACATTTCAACAAAATGGCCGCCGGTTTTTTTCTCTGGTTGGTCAAAATTTAAATACTGTCCGATTTCGATGAAATTTGGTGAATAGGTGAAATATAGCACTATAAATACAACTGCAGTGTTTGTTTTGTGATTTAACAAAATGGCTCTATGCTATGGCTATATGGCACTACGAAAACAACTGCCATGTGCATTTTATGATTCAACAAAATGGCCGCCATTTCCTGGCCTCTGATTGGTCGAAATTAATATATATTTATATTTTTAAGAAAATTGGTATATTGGGGTATTAAGGGACTTCGTAATCAATCGCACAGGTTTCGTTGCCATAGCAACTACACTGAGGCTTCTGATTGGTCGCAATCGAGAAATTATTTTATTTCACTAAAATTTAGTACGTGTATTGTAGTTGTAGACTATGGGGGCATTTAAGGGGACGTCTGTAATGGTCCCCCATTACAATTAGTACTTGTTATACTTCATGATTGTCGCAAGAATAACAATACAGTGCTAATGTTTCATTGTTTTAAATATGCGACATTAAATAAAAATTCTTGAATCTTGTGAATTCATATAAAGGAATATGTTTCGGCGTCGTGTAAATTAACTGATTAGGTGTTTAAAAGTAATAAAAAATATCTACCTGTAGGAAGCGTGGACATCTACAGGACAGTCAGCGGAACATCTAGTTGTCAAACTTCGTTCTCGAACAAAAACGCTTCTTAAAATGTGTGTATAGATAAGATTAACTTGTTGGGTTCATGCCAAATCGATTCAGGTACATTGCACCCCTACTGCGATTAAGAGGAGAATTTAAACCAAACAGAACACCACAATATACATACCTACCACTACAGCATACATACAAACCAACAAAACAAACACGCATACCACAAAAGCATACAAACACCCATAACATACATACAGCCCACAACGACATACATACAGCCCAGAACAACATACATACTGACCACTACAACATACATACTAATCACCATAACATACATACCAGTTACAATAGCATACACACTAACCACCACAACATAATACTAATCACCACAACATACATACTAACCACCATAACATACATACTAGCCACCATCACATACATACTAACCACCATAACATACATACATACTAGCCATCGAAACATACATACATACTAGCCACCATAACATACATACTTACCACCATAACATACATACTAACCACCACAACTTACATACTTACCAACATAACATACATACTAACCACCATAACATACATACTAACCACCACAACATAATACTTACCACCATAACATACATACTAACCACCACAACTTACATTCTTACCACCATAATATACATACTAACCACCACATCATACATCCTAACCACCACAACATACATACATACTAGCCACCATAACATACATACATACTAGCCACCATAACATACATACTTACCACCACAACATACATACTAACCACCACAACATACAAAATAACCACCACAACATACAAACAGACCACCACAACATACATACTAACCACCACAACATACATACTTACCACCAGAACATGCATACAGACCACCACAACATACAAACAGACCACCACAGCATACATAATTCCACCAATATTGAAATCAAATGATCATCGTAATCAAATTACTAAAAAGAAAACAAGATAAAAACTATAGAAAGACATGTTTATAAATTCTGACGACACTAGTGTCTCGATGAGAGTAGTGAGGTTCCGGCCAAATCGATTTCACATAAATTCTTCACATTTATCATTACTGCTGTTAGGACTCAATGCTAAGTAAGCATACCGTATATATAGTATAGGAGTTTGTGCGATTTGTTATATAGCCATGTGTTAAAACAAATATATTGGTTCATATACCTGTATTATTGATTAGTCATAGATTTAAATATTTTTTCCATATTACGTCATTGGAATGCATGTACATTGTAACAATAAGATAAGAGACGCTTCCCAGATCGACACGGCATTTATGATTTAAAATATTGAACACGTTGAATAAATAAAATGTTTGTTTTACGTTTATAAATATCCCAGCGATGAATCAATACTGTAGGCATTATATGTACTTTATGCACTATATAAGTTTTATGGTAGGCTTGTTCATATTGGAATGCCAACAGCCTGCTCGAATGTTATGCCACCGAAAGATATTGCTAAGATTCAGATACCAACGAGACAAAACCTTAGAAGTCTTAACCATATACATACATGTAAGAAACTCTTATTATAAGAATTTGAACTTGTGAAAACGCCAGTATTCAGCCATATTCAAAAAATAAAGATATTTGGACATTGACTTTGAACTACATTTATGATGAAGTGACAAAACATTATCAACAATTAAGATTTTCGGTATAATCAAAAAAATTAATGTAATAATTATACAAGAGGCCCAATGGGCCTGAATCGCTCACCTGGTATTAATCTCACACTTGTAACTTAAAAGTCGACTAAAATACAGCTACAGGCAGAATATCAACTTTTGATTCATAAGAACCTATTAAAAGATTTTAACATATGACGCCTGTGACCTTGAATGTTGAACAAGGACATTAAGTTGAACAGAGATTATAGTCTTCCAACCCAGCATGCTTCTGGCAAAATATCATTATCCTGGACCTTTTTGTTATACAGAACAAGTCATTTAAACATATATTGTCCACTGTGCCCTTGAAAATGAGTGAAGGTCATTAATTTGAACATGTTACTGGCCAAATATCATCACCCTTGGCCTTTTGCTTTCGAGAAAAAAATCTTTAAAATGATTTTAACATATTTGATCCCTGTGACCTTGAATATAAGTCAAGGCAATTCAATTGAACAAACATGGAAGCCCTTTATTCCAGCATACTACTGGCCTAATAACATTATCCTAGGCTTTTTGGTTATTCAGAAAAAGCTGTTTAAAGGTTTTAAACATATTTGACCCATGTGACCTTGAAATTAAGTACAGGTCATTCATTTGAACACACTTGGTAGCTCTTAACCCCAGCATGTTACTGGCAAAATATAATTATCCTAGGCCTCGTGGTTATTTAGAAGAAGTTGTTTAAAGTTTTAAACATGTTTGACCCCTGTGACCTTGAATATAAGTCAATGTCATTCAATTGAACAAACTAAGTAGCCCTTCATCCTAGCATGCTTCTTGCCAAATATCATCATCCTAAGATGTTCGGTTATTGAGAAGAAGTTGTTTAAATGTTTTAAACATATTTGAACCATGTGACCTTGAATAACTGTCAAGGTCAGTGATTTGAACAAACTTGGTAGCCCTTCATCCCAGCATGTTACTGGCAAAATATCATCACCCTTGGCCTTTTGCTTTAGAGAAAAAATCTTTAAAAATATTTTAACATATTTGATCCCTGTGACCTTGAATATAAGTCAAGGCAATTCAATTGAACAAACTTGGGAGCCCTTCATCCCAGCATGTTACTGTCCAAAATTCATTATCCTAGGTCACTTGATTATTCAGAAGAAGTTGTTTAAAGGTTTTAAACATATTTGACCCCTGTGACCTTGAATATAAGTCAAGATCATTCATTTGAACAAACTTGGTAGCCCTTTATCACAGCATGCTTCTGGCCAAATAGCATTATCCTAGGCCTCTTGGTTATTGAGAAGAAGTTGTTTAAAGGTTTTAAACATGTTTGACTCCTGCGACCTTAAATATAAGTCAAGGTTATTCATTTTAACAAACTTTCATTCTAGCATGTAACTGGCAAATGTCATTATCATAGGCTTCTTGGTTATTCAGGAGAAGTTGTTTTAAGATTTAAAAGACAATTGACCCCTGTGACCTTAAATATAAGTAAAGGTCATTTATTTGAACAAACTTGGTAGCCCTTCATCCCAGCATACTACTGGCCTAATATCATCACCCTGTGCATTTTTGTTATTCAGAAAAAGTTGTTTAAAGTTTTTTAACATATTTGACCCCTGTGACCATGAAAATAGGTGAAGGTCATTTATTTGAACAAACTTGGAAGCCCTTCATCCCAGTTTGCTTCTGGCAACAAATATCATCACGCTAGGCCTTTTGGTTATCACAAAGAAGTTGTTCAAAGTAAAATATTGATGCCGGATGACGGACGGACAACGGACGGATGACGGACGACACACCATGGCATAAGCTCACTTGGCCCTTCGGTATACCGAAATGTTGTGTATGCACTTCTGCCAATTTCGAAAACCACACGATGATCCCTGTTTAACTTTAGACGGAACTATTATTCCAGTTGTTCAACAAACAAAATTTCTTGGACTTATATTCGACTCAAAATTGTCCGTTTTTACCTCATATCAAATATTTAAAAGATAAATGCTGAAAGTCCTTAAATATTCTTAAAGTATTATCCCATACAGATTTGGGAGCAGACCGTGGTGTGCTCCTGCATCTATATCGCTCACTTATTCGTTCAAAGCTTGACTATGGGTCCGTTATATATGGATCAGCTCGAATATCGTACTTGCAGATGCTTGATCCAATTCATAACCAGGGGCTTCATCTGGCCTTCGGTGTTTTTCGTACATCACTAGCCGCGAGCCTCTGCGTTGAAGCAAATGAACAACCTCTACGCGAAAGATGAACAAAATTATTACTACAGTTTGCTAATCAGTTAAAAGCAAACCCAGAAAACCCAGCTTTTCAATCAGTATTTCATCTAAATTATACACACCTTTTCCAACGCAATGGGAAATTAATTCCATCTTTTGGCGTACGGCTTCAAACATTGCTGGAAGATTCAAATTTAGACCGACAATCAGTCGAGGTTTTTTACAATACCTAATATTCCACCAAGGAAAATTCAGCTACCCGAAATAAATTTAGAAGTACACAATTATGTAAAATCTCATCACCCTGGGCCTTTTGGTTATTCAGAAGTCGTTTAAAGGCTTTTGAGACAATTGACTCATATGACCTTGAATATGAGTGAAGGTCATTCATTTGAAAAAACTTGGTAGCACATCATCACAGTATGTTATGGGCTTAATATCATCATCCTGTGCCTTTTGCTTTTTCAGAAGAAGTTGTTGAAGGATTCAAGGTCATTCATTTTAACAAACTTGGTAATCCGTAATCCAAGCATGCTTGTGACCAAATATCCCAATCCTGGTCCTTTTGGATATTCTAGAGAAGTTGTATAAATGTTTCTTAAGACAATTGACCCATGTAATCTTGAATATAAATAAGTTGTTTAAATTGAAATCTTGACGGACAAATTGATTGTGACAATTGCGGTTGCGTGTACATAAAAAGACTGTTGTTCTGATTGGAGAGGATACAGACCTGCGTGTGCTGTTGTGCTAATATGATGATATGCACGCTAACAAGTTCTTCCGTTCAGAAGAACGTCATGACAGGTGGCGATACAAAGTCGTCACTGTTTGGCATTAGTAAAGGTGCAGCGTTGAAAAAGATCCGTATCCATATTTCAGGGTACTTGCCGCAAACTTTATTTGCAAATATTCACATGTGAACACATTAGCGAAAGCTGGAGAGGAAATCATTGCGTTGACCCCAGCTGGGCCACCGTCATCCCACTTCTTTCTTTCCTATTACAGTAGAACAAGCTGTTTTTGTTTTGTTTTTGTTTTTGTTAATTTGAGTAAGGTTACTGGCTAAAAAGAAAACAGCTGTCCTATCAAATATGTAACGTATTGATTCAACAATGAAGAGTTTTTGTGTATTGTAATTTGCCATTTGAAAGCTTTGCATCTTTTTTATACTGAAAATAAATTACATACAACTAAATGGTAAAAAAAAAAATGTGAGTTGACTACATCATCTAAATTTAACACGTGTTGGTATGAGAAAGATATTTG